GGCCAGTCAGCCTCACCTCAGTCCCTGGAAAAATCATGGAGCGGGTCCTCAAGGAATCAATTCTGAAGCACTAGAGGAGAGGAAAGTGATCAGGAACAGTCAGCATGGATTCACCAAGGGCAAGTCATGCCTGACTTAATTGCCTTCTATGAGGAGATAACTGGGTCTGTGGATGAGGGGAAAGCAGTGGATGTGTTATTCCTTGACTTCAGCAACGCTTTTGATACGGTCTCCCACAGTATTCTTGCTGGCAAGTTAAAGAAGTATGGGCTGGATGAATGGACTATAAGGTGGATAGAAAGCTGGCTAGATGGTCAGGCTCAACGGGTAGTGATCAATGGCTCCATGTCTAGTTGGCAGCCGGTTTCAAGCGGAGTGCCCCAAGGGTCGGTCCTGGGGCCAGTTTTGTTCAATATCTTCATTAATGATCTGGAGGATGGCGTGGACTGCACTCTCAGCAAGTTTGCAGATGACACTAAACTGGGAAGAGTGGTAGATACGCTGGAGGATAGGGATAGGATACAGAGGGACCCAAACAAATTAGAGGATTGGGCCAAAAGAAACCTGATGAGGTTCAACAAGGACAAATGCAGAGTCCTGCACTTAGGACGGAAGAATCCCATTCACTGTTACAGACTAGGGACCGAATGGCTAGGTAGCAGTTCTGTAGAAAAGGACCTAGGGGTCACAGTGGATGAGAAGCTGGATATGAGTCAACAGTGTGCTCTTGTTGCCAAGAAGGCTAACGGCATTTTGGGCTGTATAAGTAGGGGCATTGCCAGCAGATCGAGGGACGTGATCATTCCCCTCTAGTCTACATTGGTGAGGCCTCATCTGCAGTAGTGTCCAGTTTTGGGCCCCACACTACAAGAAGGATGTGGAAAAATTGGAAAGAGTCCAGCGGAAAGCAACAAAAATGATTAGGGGGCTGGAGCACATGACTTATGAGGAGAGGCTGAGGGAACTGGGATTGTTTACTCTGCAGAAGAGAAGAATGAGGGGGGATTTGATAGCTGTTTTCAACTACCTGAATGAGGGTTCGAAAGAGGATGGATCTAGACTGTTCTCAGTGGTACCAGATGACAGAACAAGGAGTAATGGTCTCAAGTTGCAGTGGAGGAGGTTTAGGTTGAATAGTAGGAAAAACTTTTTCACTAGGAGGGTGGTGAAGCACTGGAATGGATTACCTAGGGAGGCGGTGGAATCTCCTTCCTTAGAGGTTTTTAAGGTCAGGCTTGACAAAGCCCTGGCTGGGATGATTTAGTTGGGAATTGGTCCTGCTTTGAGCAGGGGGTTAGACTAGATGACCTCTTGAGGTCCCTTCCAACCCTGATATTCTATGATTCTATCCTGTGGGGGAGCTAATCTCTTTAGGGTATGTCTACACTGTGATAAAAGACCTATGGCATGGCCACAGCGGGCCCAGGTCAGCTGACTCAGGTTTATAGGGATTGGTCTTGTGGGGCTATAAAACTGCAGTGTAGATGTTCGGGCTCAGGCAGGAGTCTGAGCTGTCACCCAGCAAGAGGTTAGAGTCTCAGAGCATGGGCTACCTACCGCCCAAGCCCAAATGTCTACATTTTAGTCCTCCAGCCCAAGCCCTAGAAACCTAGCGCCCCGGGCTCTGAGACTTGGTGCCACTCCCTGCAGCTAGGACATTGACTCGGGGAGGCAGACTGAGGTTTGCTTTCATAAGTTCATGTACTGAGTGAAAAACGCAGTTTCAATCAGAATCCTTTAAAAACTATATTTAAGAAAAAATAAAATGCATGTTTATGTGATTGTTCAGCATAGCAAATATTCAAGCATGCACAAAAATTCAAAGATTCAGAAATATAAAAGTATAGATCTGAACATGAAAGTGCTGTGTGACGTAAAGACTGTTCATGACACTAAAGTTGAAGTCTTCTTGGATAATAGTACCTTAATTCCTCCACAAAGACATACAAGGTTCAGTTTTCAAGTCAAATCACTTTCATATGACAGGAGAATCGTTTCTCTTTCTTTCATGGGTCATGCTCATCCTTAGATGTGATAAAATTATTTTCAAACAAGAAAAGGAATTCCCACGTGTTGCAATTGATGCTCCAAATAACAAGACCACTATAGACATTTCAAAAATACACGGGAAAGCCTCATTTAAGTCCTTGGCAGTACCTAGAACTTCTTCAAATTCTTTGCAATTTTTTTTTACCTATCAGTGGTTTAAATACACCCATTTGGGAGTGAGGGGTGGGGGTGGGGTGTCACATGTTACCTGTGAGGAAGATGGCCGCCTAGTCCCAGACTTCTCATTCCCCACATATCAAGTCGTCTCTAATAATTACTTTCCTAGCAAACTGCCAATAACTTTCTGTCATAAAAGTTTAAATTAAGCCCCTGGATAAACTTCAAACTGTTGACTATGAATTCCAATGACAAAATGAGAGGCAACAAAAGACCTAAGCCTGAATCACCTCAACAGCTGAAGTGGGAGAATGCAAGGCCACAGCAGAACCTAACCCAGGATATTGCGACACTGAAAGAATTCCTCATAGACTGACTAGATTCAATATTGAAAGATATTCATGGCCTCTCTAAAGATATATGTGATGTAAATTCCTGAATGGTTCACTTGGAAATGAGCTACAAAAGACTACCATTGAAACAGTGAAATTAAAGAAGAAACTGACTCCTTAAAGCTCAGATTAGACAAACTGGAAGAAAATCAGGATGATTTAAAAAACAGATCTTGAAAAAACAACTTTTGCCACTTGGGCACTGCTGAGGGCTTTGAGGGGATGGATATTATCATCTTTCTTCAGAAACTGCCCCCTGACCTACTTAATTGGACCCCAGCTGCTCCCATTAGCTATTGAAAGGGCTCATCGAATGCCTGGTACTAGAAAGCAGGAATCCCATCATCTTCAAGCTGCTGAAATTCAGTGACAAAGTACTGCTAATGAATGCTGCCAGAAAAGCTGAAACCCTTATGTACAAAGGCTACAAAATTTCTCTTTTTTCCTGACTTCTCAGCTGCGTTTAACAAAAAGAAGGCTGCATTCAATGGCATAAAACAAATCCTGAAGGGGACCAATGTCAGATACAGCATCAAGTACCTATCCACCTTCTGTACGGATTTAGCAGGCTCCACAAGATTTTTGCAAAAACCCCTCTGAAGGTTGGCAGACATTCCAAAGACTGAGATCAGATTTGACCAAAAGTACAAGAATGTGGTTTTTTTTAAAGTATAAAAAGCATACTTCAACAAGTTTAAAAATCAGTATGGTTTTCCTATGTATCCTTGTAGATATGGTAATATTGACTTATATAATCATAGAATATCAGGGTTGGAAGGGACCTCAGGAGATCATCTAGTCCAACCTCCTGCTCAAAGCAGGACCAATCCCCAGACAGATTTTTGCCCCAGATCCCTAAATAGCCCCCTCAAGGACTGAACTCACAACCCTGGGTTTAAGCAGGCCAATGCTCAAACCACTGAGCTATCCCTCCCCCAAGCAGATAACCAGTTGCACTGAACTCTTCTATTGATCTCCTTTAGAACCAAATAGTAAAGACAATTGTGTAGCACTGCAATGCAAAGAGTAATAGTTTATCACTAAACAGGGGTATACAGCGCCATCTACAGACTGAAGTATTATGTGCACTAATCATCACAATTTGCATTGCCAGACAGATTCTCTTCACCAGATTTGCCTCTGATGGATTGTGTTACAATAACCACTAATCCCTTGGAACAGTCAACACTCCTGACATGTAAAGCAGACTATAACCTAAATCTTAAATCGCACTAGTTATTCACTTGTGCAGGGCATTTGATATACTATGAATGATTTGTTTTATATATTATTGTGTTTTTCATATTTACATTTTGTATTTAGATTTATCATTAGCCTATTGCCTTTCAAGTTCTCTCCCTTGCTCTTTTCTCGAATAAATAGACTTACCATGCAATTTATATGGGTAAAAAAACAGCCTTGCTTGTCACACAAGACCCTTAAAAAATCCTGGGCAACTGGAGGTATGGGGTTGCCAGATTTGTGTTTATATTTATATACCTATATATAATTTTTTATATGATCTAGTATTCCAAATGCATCCTATTGTAAGGTGTTTTCCCTCCAGTAGCACTTTATTCAGCCTTGTTTGACACTGAAAAAAGCCTAGCTATGCAATTTGGTTCCCACTCATCTTTTATATACACCTTAAGAGGCTTCCCACACTCAAAGAAAAATCCAATCTTGCATCTACGTGGGGCATCTTGCAATTCATTAAGATGACTACAGCATCTAATCTTATTAATTCTCTTCTCCCACCTCTCTGGGATAACCTAGTTTAAAGCCCTCCTCACTAGGTTAGCAAGCCCGCCTGAGAAGATGATCTTCCCTCTCTTCATTAGGTGGATCCCATCTCTTCCTAGCAATCCTTCTTCCCAGAACAACATCCCATGGTCGAAGAATCCAAAGCCCTCTCTCCGACACCACCTGTGTAACCACGCATTCACCTCCACAATTCGACAGTCCCTACCTGGGCCTTTTCCTTCAACAAGGAGGATGGACGAGAAAACAACTTGCGCCTCAAACTCCTTTATCCTTCCCAGAGCCAAGTAGTCTGCTCAAGGTCATTCTTGGCAGTATCATTGGTGCCTACATGGAGAAGTAGGAAGGGGTAACAGTCTGAGGTCTTGATCAGTCTCAGCAGACACTCCATCACATCCTGGATTCTAGCTCCAGGCAAGCAGCACACTTCTCGAGTCTCCTGGTCTGGTAAGCAGATGGATGACTCCGTCCCCCTTAGGAGGGAGTCCCCGACCACCACCACCCATCTCCTCCTCTTGGGAGTGGTGGTCTTGGAACCCCCATCCTTAGGACAATGCATCCTGTGCCTTCCGGCCAATGGGGTCTCCTTCTTATACCTTCCCTCAGAGGGCTCTTCCAAATCCTTCTCCGCAGCAGTATCTGTGCAGAGAGCCTGAAAACGGTTTTGCACCTCTATATGCATTGGGGGTACATAGGTTCTCTGATGCTTGGTCCCAGGCTTGTGTTGAGTTTCCTGCGTGCTACTGTCTCTTTCCCTCAGGGCATGCAGCTGCCAGGAACCCTCTAGCTCCCTCCCCAGCAGTGTCTTCTATGTGTGAGCTGGGTTCTGCCGGGTCTAGCAGCACTGCAGCCCATTTCTGTGGGAGGAAGGAAATTCTGCATGTACAACAGTAATTTCTGCAAAATTCTGCATTGCGCAGTGGCGCAGAATCCCCCCAGGAGTAGAGAGAGTGTGGGCTGACTAGAACTGGAATGCACCTCTAGAGTCCATAAGAAACCTTAGATGGTCTGCCCAGGGGGCCTGGGACACTACTGCAGAGTCAAGGAAGGGGAACTCCTAGATTGACTGACCACAGGGTTAAAGCTTGTAATGTTCTGAACCTGATGGCTATTATGAGTTATGTACATAGACTGTGGCTTTATGTATTTGTATACATAAAACTGTGTTCATAATTTTTGCTGCAACATTCAGCTCCACCTCACTACAGGGAAGTAAAACAATCAGACAGGGAGGGGGACCTCCCCAAACAGATGAGACAAGTTCCAAGTACCTAGCATTGTACAACCCAGCAAAGACAATGATGGACCATTAAAATTATTGGGAAAACAGTGAAGCAACTTGAAAACAAAACCCTAGTAATGGAAAATTAAGAAAGGAGGGAATTTTTCCCACTTACTACGGTTCAAAAGTGTAAATGAGCATCAGTAGTCCCAAGCGTATCATAAACTGATCAAGGAAACCAATGGTGAATTGCAAAGGAATTTTGTTGAGAACACCACCAAGTTATAAAAAAGCTTTTCAGCAATCTAGTCTACCAGCTCTCCAGACTTCTTGAAATAGGAATCACTGTGTCCTTTGATTGCCTTGCTTGGATTAGATATTGAGAAGGTAAAACTTAAAATGGGTGTATTTTTTGTATATAACCTTAAGATAGAAATACAATACAAATAACAAAATTCAATGTTAAATATTTGTAAAACCTGAAAAAAAATACAAAAAACAAACAAAAAATAAAACTGAACCCATAGAAGTCATGCAAGGGCATCAATTATTCAAATGACTAAAGAGATAAATAAGTGACACCATAACTAAGGATAAGATTTTGTCATGGATATTTTTAGTAAACGTCAGGGACAGGTTAATAAAGAAAAATTCATGGAAGCTGGTGGCCTGTCCCTGGCATTTACTAAAAATATTCATGGGGAACCGCTGTGGGGGTCGGCTGGGAGCTCCCACCACCTGTACGGGCTCGGAGTTCCAGGTCTCCCTCCCCCACGGCTCAGAGCTGCAGAGGTGGGCAAGCAGCTGCGGGGTCCTCTGCAGTGGCTCGGAACCCCCAGGTGCCCATAGTGGTGAGGAGCAGTGGGGTACCCCTGCCCCCCCAGCAGCAGGCAGGAGCTGTTGGGCAGCAGCCATGAGCTGTGGGGTCCCCTGCCACCCACGAGCTCTGGGGTACCCCTGCTGCCCACAGGAGCTCGGAGGGCCCCACCACCGCAGGTGGCAGGGGTACCCTGCAGCTCTCGGCTGCCACGGGTGGTGGAGGGACCCTGCAGCTCCCAGCCGACTGCTGGCTGAAGTCACAGATGTCTTTGGAAGTCACGGATTTCACTAGATACCACAATCCATTTCTTAATGTTAATTGGTAAAGCCAACTCATCCGGCACCCCTAAAATTACACAAGCTTGTAGAAAGAGAGAGAACATTTTTTGAGAGAGCACTGACTATGATGTTCCAAAACACATGCATTTTTGGAGAAGTATAGAGCAGCAGTTCTCAAACTTTAGCAAGCTGAGGACCCCCATTTTGATTTAAACATTTTTGCAGATCCCCAAGCCGGCTTTTAATTCCTCCCCCCTCCACCCCCCGGGGGTGTTCAACAGCTGTTCTGCAGCATGCAGGAGGCACTGGGAGGGAGGGGGAGGAGTTGATCAGCAGGGCCGCCGGCCCCAGACATGACTTGTGGACCGCCTAGAGCCAGACATGACTCGCGGACGCCGGGGAGTACCCTCGCGGAGCCCCAGGGGGTCCGTGGACTCCAGTTTGAGAACCGCTGGTATAGAGGATGTATGAAAGGTTGTCATGTGGCTGTTTGCATGTCCAACATTCACTGTGTGTTGCCAATTTAGCCTTAAACAAACATTGAGCCCAGTATATCTTGTTCTGGAAGAACAGTAAGGCTAAAGACAACCAATTTGACTCTTAATAAATCTGATCTTTTCATTGAAGGTCTGCCTTTTAATACCATAACTTCAGAATAAGTGTTGTTTATGGAAAAAGCTGTCACAAGAGGTCAAACAGGTTATAAAATATAGCCTCTCTCTGTCTGAAAGGAATTCTTGTCTCCCCTCCAAACAGGCAGGCAGGGTTTGGTCACAGAAACTCAAGCATAGAACCATGTGTCCCCACTTTGCAGAGACTTCTTTGCACATCTTTTATTATGGCACCAACGTAATGCAGTCACCACACTTAATTTAGCTGAAACAGGGTCACTAACACACCCCACCCCCAAGGGCTACTAGAATTGTAACTACTACTTTGTGGCTTTAGGACTACAATCACTCATCTGAGGAAACTCAGAATAAGAAACTGGGGAAGAAAAAACTGGAACATCTTATTTACAAGGACAAACAAATGTACAGGGGGGTCAGTGCCTGCTCATGCTCCCCCTTAGCTATGGGGCTGTGCCATGGGTTTTCTTAATCTCAGTGTAGACATACCCTTAGTGACCCACAGTTATTCCCACTGGCACTTTCCTCAACACCCTAACCTGCATCAATACCCAGACTCCCTGGGTCTCTCCAATATAGGAGATCATGCTCCCCCCTTTGGTCATGGCAACCATTTATCTCTGGCATCTTGATTTGTTCTTCACAAAGCAGCCAATCCCTCTCCCACAACTCTCTGCACCTTGGGCAGCTTTCCTACATACCATACCCCTGACAAAGAAATGGAAGTTCTTTGTGTAGCGCTTGCCCTCTTTGGAATAGGAGACATTGCATTTGTAGATTCCAGACTGCGCTGAGCCGAAGTCCTTGAAGGCTAGGGATCCATTCTCCAGTATGGAGCAATATTTGGAATCTAGAAGAGATAGAGAGATTATAGATTGTGGTCTTCTGTTCCAGTCACAGAACTCCAAATCCAGCGGATTATGACAAAATACTAAGCATGTTAATTAACCACACATCCTGGGACACATTGACTACACTCTCAGTTCATTCTTGTAAACGTTCAAGAAACCAATTAACTAATTTTGGCCAAATTTATTGTCAAAAGACAAAGCAATACAATATGAAAGAGAGACATACATACTCTCCTTCCAGGAAGCAAACTCTTGCAGCATGTTCACCTTACACAAGTGTGCTTCAAAGACACTCATTTCAGATAGTATGATTTTACAAGTTATGCATCACTAGAAGTTTAAGTTTAACCCACTAGTTTGTGCCAGCTTCCCATTAGTACTTCCCTATACTTTCCCATATCTTGTTTTGAATACAACATTCCAACCATTGATGAGCCACAAAAGTACTTCCTAACCATATTTGATACAAAGTATTCATGCATCTTTGCTTTGACAAGTTTCCTGTTTTCTAATATCAAAGCTTTGGACAGTGTTGTGAGATGCCTGACATGGGTGAACAGAATTATGGGAAGAGCATAATACATTCAGTTAACATAACTTCCCAGCACTTTATTTATATAATGTATATTGTATAAATAATGTGTGCATAATACCCATTAATGTGGTGTATACTCCGCCCAACATATATTGGCTAACAGGCAATTTAAAAAACTTCTCACACATGTATGATCTATTCCTCCACCACTAAAAAATGCAGCCATCTCTGGGGTGTTATATAGCAGATGTTTAACAGTCAAGCATCCCTAATGCACAACAGTTTAAGCAAGAAGTAAAGATGAACCCTACATCCAACTGAAGCTATAGGAAGGAGGCAATAATTTAGGGAAACAAAAATTAAATTTCCACAGGTCTTCAGTTTTAAATATGAACCAAAAATAGCACTTCCAGCAGCACAGCCTCACTCCCAGCACAATTCTGAGGCATTGGGGTCAGTACTGGCTCAAGGGGGACGAGCACACCCTACTATGTCACCAACACTGCTTCCTGCAGTACAGCGCTGTCAAGGTTCCTTCCCCACTCTGAACTTTAGAGTACAGATATGGGGACCTGCATGTGAACCCCTACACTGAATTACCAGCTTAGATCTGGTTTTGCTGCCACCACTCCCAAGTACTAACTTCCTTCCCTGGGTAGCCTTGAGAGACTTCTTCACCAATTTCCTGGTGAACACCGATCCAAACCCTTGGATCTTAACACAAGGAGAATTTAACCATCCCCCCTCCTTTCCCCCACCAATTCCTGGTGAGTCCAGATCCAATCCCCTTGGATCTTAAAACAAGGAAAACTCAATCAGGTTCTTAAAAAGAAGGCTTTTAATTAAAGAAAGAAAGGTAAAAATCATCTCTGTAAAATCAGGATGGAAAATAACTTTACAGGGTAATCAGATTCAAAGAGCCCAGAGGAACCCCCTCTAGCCTTAAGTTCAGAGTTACAGCAAACAGAAGTAAACCCTCTAGCAAAAGGAACATTTACAAGTTGAGAAAACAAAGACAAAACTAACACGCCTTGCCTGACGGTTACTTACAAGTTTGAAAAATTAGAGACTTGTTCAGAAAGATTTGGAGAGCATGAATTGATGTCTGGTCCCTCTTAGTCCAAAGAGCGAACAACCCCCAAAACAAAGAGCACAAACAAAAGCCTTCCCCCCACCAAGATTTGAAAGTATCTTGTCCCCTTATTGGTCCTTTGGGTCAGGTGTCAGCCAGGTTACCTGAGCTTCTTAACCCTTTACAGGTAAAAGGATTTTGGAGTCTCTGGCCAGGACGGATTTTATAGTATTGGACATAGGAGGGCTGTTACCCTTCCCTTTATAGTTATGACAAGCCCCGTCTGGGATCATGTTGGGGCACTGGTATCAAAATGACTAAGTACATGGTAGATTCCTTCATCCCTTGGTTTTTCCTTTGAAGTCTTGTCTATATTACAGGATCAGAAAAGTAAGACAGATGGAAAAGGCCTTGTACATCATCTACTCTCAACTTCTTCCTCTCCTGTACATTATCCAGAGTTTATCAGTCTACAATTAAGTAGCACATTTTGAAGGGGCCTCACTTTCATCTGCAGAAGTTCCTTGATCGTGCAAACAAATAACATGATCACAAGCAAACTATCTAAAGATCAGTTGTGCACACATACTGCAGGGCTCTACATGTACTAAAAATTGAAGGCACAATTTCATCCCCTAAATGCTCATGTACAGGCCTGGTGCCCTGACTCCTTTCAGCTTGGGAGACCCAGGTGCCCTGGATGAAGGATAAACCCATTAAAACTAGGGCTGTCAAGCAATTATAAAAGCTAATCGCGATTAATCACGCAATTAAAAAAATTAATCGCGATTAATCACGCGATTAATCATGCTGTTAAACTATAATAGAATACCATTTATTTAAATATCTTGGGATTTTTTCTACATTTTCAAATATATTGATTTCAAGTATAACAGAATACAAAGCGTACAGTGCTCACTTTATATTTATTTTTGATTACAAGTATTTGCACTGTAAAAAAAGAAAATAAATAGTATTTTTCAATTCACCTAATACAAGTACTGTAGTGCAATCTCTTTATCATGAAAGTTGAACTTACAAATGAAGAATTATGTACAAAAAACCTGCATTCAAAAATAAAACAATGTGACATTTTAGAGCCTGCAAGTCCACTCAGTCCTACTTCTTGTTCAGCCAATTGCTCAGACAAACAAGTGTGTTTATCTCCTGCAAATGTAATGCTGCCCGCTTCTTGTTTACAATGTCACCTGAAATGAGAACAGGCGTTCTCATGGCACTGTTGTAGCCAACATTGCAAGATATTTATGTGGCAGATGCGCTAAAGATGCATATGTCACTCCATGCTTCAACCATCATTCCAGGGGACATGCGTTCATGCTGATGACGGGTTCTGCTTGATAACAATCCAAAGCAGTGCGGACCAACGCATGTTTGTTTTCATCTTCTGAGTCAGATGCCACCAGCAGAAGGTTGATTTTCTTTTTTGGTGGTTCAGGTTCTGTAGTTTCCGCATCAGAGTGTTGCTCTTTTATAACTTCTGAAAGCAGGCTCCCTACCTTGTCCCTCTCAGATTTTGGCAGGCACTTCAGATTCTTAAACCTTGGGTCGAGCGCTGTAGCTATCTTTAGAAATCTCACATTGGTACTTTCTTTGAGTTTTGTGAAATATGCAGTGAAAGTGTTCTTAAAATGAACTCATCATCTGAGACTGCTATAACATTAAATATATGGCAGAATGCGGGTAAAACAGAACAGGAGACACAATTCTCCCCTCAAGGAGTTCAGTCACAAATTACATTTTTTTAATGAGCATCATCAGCATGTCCTCTGGAATGGTGGCCGAAGCATGAAGGGGCATATGAATGTTTAGCATATCTGGTACATAAATACCTTGCAATGCCAGCTACAAAAGTGCCATGCAAATATCTGTTCTCACTTTCTAGTGACATTGTAAATAAGAAGAGAGCAGCATTATCTCCTGTAAATGTAAACAAACTTGTTTGTCTTAGTGACTGGCTGAATAAGAAGTAGAACTGATTAGACCTGTAGGCTCTAAAGTTCTACATTGTTTTGTTTTTGAATGCAGTTATGTAACAAAAAAAAATCAGCATTTGTAAGTTGCACTTTCATGACAGACATTGCACTACAGTACCTGTATGAGGTGAATAGAAAAATACAATTTCTTTTATCTTTTTACAGTGCAAATATTCATAATAAAAAATAATATATACTGATTTCAATTACATCACAGAATACAATAGATATGAAAATGTAGAAAAACATCCAAAATATTTAGTAAATTTCAATTGGTATTCTATTGTTTAACAGTGTGATTACAACTGAGATTAATCGCGATTAATTTTTGTAATCACAATTTTTTTTAGTTAATTGCGTGAGTTAACTGCGATTTATCGACAGCCCTAATTAAAACCAAATTGGGGAGCTGGCAGCAGCTCCATTGGAAATAGGTGCCAAGTTCTTACAAGTATCATGGGGCCATTCACTTGTTCAAAAATTAGTTATTGGGCTTGATACAGGATTACACTGGGTGAAATGCTCTGACCTGTGCTATGCAGGAGGTTGAACTAGATAATTACAATGGTTGCTTCTGTCCTTAGAATCCATGATTCTGTCCCAAATGGAGGTGCCAGACGACAATACATCCGAGCAACATTTGAGGACTATGGGTGAATTAGCACACATGAAAAGATCAGGACAAGTCTTGGAAGATTCAGGTGCTCTTAGGACTTCTGTCCTGGGGTAAATTTCACCCTAAAGGTGAAGAAGTGATCTGGAGATGCTGGTCCCAACACAATAACACTGGAAGCTGGACTAGTTCCTTGTGCTGGTGACTGACAACAGGCTAAACTGACACAAAGTGTGCTCAAAGCATTTGTAACAGCAAGTAAAGCTGATGTATCCAACTCTTACAAGTAAGAGGAGGCAAAGCAGCCAATGAATTAATCACAGAGAAAATCTGAGCACCTTTTTTTTGTCCAGAAGCAAAGCAGTGACTTCAGGCTCTTAGGCCAGCAGTGGTCAGGAACACAGTGAATACACCAGAAGAGGTCTTACAAATACTGGATCTAATGCAAACCATTTGCAGGGCAGAGAAGAGACAAATGGGGTGATATCCTGTAGGTTCTCTACCCTAATGAAGGGAGGCCCTGATTCATGCCACCTGCCTAGCCAACACAGGGGAATTAACAGAGAGCTTCAGTACTAGGAGGGAGGTTGGAGGAGGGCTTACAGCACCTTGAATTTCCTGCCCAGTGTCCTTGGTCCATTTGTAAACTTGATCCATCCACGTCTTTGTCCCCAGCTGTTCAGAGGAGCAGGGCAGGACTGTCCCTGCACTGTTAATGCGGATGAAGACATAAACTAAGGTACAACAAAGATTGTTATTAATCATCTCTACACAAAACGTAAATGCTGGGGCCAGACAAGGGGGTGGAGACTATGGGGCTCCACAGACCCAGTTATTGCCCCCAAGTAGAGCATTGTGAGGGGACAGAGGATGCCCTTCAGGCACTTACCCATCTCATTTTCCTTCCCATAGATGAGCTGGTTCATGTTCTCTCTTTGTGGGCGCCTTGATAATACTGGCTGAGCTTTAGCCCTTTGTAATGGAAGGATTTTTCGGGTTGGAATTGGAACATGAACAAACCCTGCAGAGGCAGGAGGAAGGAGAAACCTCACTCATTCTGGCACCCCACAAAACAAGCCACCACAGACAATAACTAGACAGAAAGGATCTCCTTGTGCTTCTCAGGTACATACAGGATCACTGCACCCACCATAGGGAGGTGAACACCAGCCATTCTAAACATGCATAGTAGTATCACACTTTGGGGATCTTCTCTGGAAGCTTTAAGTCTATGACCAGCCCACACTTTTCTGCTGAAAGTCTCTAGTTCCAAACCTCTAGTCCCTAGTCAAAATAAGGGCCTGGAACCCACAGAAAGAGGCCAGAGGATTCCCAGGCCTCATCAGGAAAGCTTTGAGTTGATGTTTGTTAGAACCCCTTTTGATTGTTGGAGACTAACTTTCTCAGAAATGACATACTATCACTGCTCAATTGAGGAAATGCAGTCAATATGACCCATAATCATCACTGGTGTTAATGACCCAGGTAAGAGCTATCCTCATATCCTCATCACCATTAATGACCTGAGCTTTCACCAAATACAGCCCCAGTAATCAAAAGGAGGCAGAAGATCTGGGACTTCCGGCCCTCCATGGGGAAGATCCATCTAGACTGTCTGCACAGCTAGGGTCCTGCTCTCCCTTATGCCCCCACTCTCCCAGTTACTATAGTATAATTAGAGCTTGCTACAAGAATTCTCAGCTGTGACCTCAGCACCTGAAAAATCTAAAGGATACTTTCCACCCTTGGAGCTTAAAGTGCCTGAGCATTCCTCTGTGTGCCATGTAACAGGGGGTCAACTGTCTTTTCAACTTGATCATGGAATTGCTGAAAGTCATTGTGGTTAGGGAGAGGAGCTACAGATGACTAGTCCACATTATCAGACAAAGTGATGTCAGAGTCCCTGAGTCACTATATCAATAGGAACAACTGGTGGAACATATTCCGTTTCCAAGAGAGTGTCAGTAATTATCAAACACTGGAGAATAAGCTGGAAGTGGTTCCCGTACAACTTGAGTACAGAACATAAAAATGGCAATACAGGGTCAGACCAATGGTGCATTTAGCCCAGTATCTTGTCTTCCAACAGTGGCCAGTGCCTCAGAGGGAAAGAACAGAACCGGGCAATTATCAAGTGATACATCCCATTGTCCAGTCCCAGCTTCTGGCAGTCAGAGGTTTAGGGACATCCTGAGCCTGGGTTGTGCTCCTGATCATCTTGGCAAATAGCCTTTGATGGACCCATCCTCCATGAACTTCTCATTCTTTTTTTAACCCAGTTATGCTTTTGGCCTTCTCTACATCCCCTGGCAACAAGTGCCACAGGCTGATTGTGCATTATGTGAAGACATATTTCCTTATGTTTGTTTTAAACCTGCTGCCCATTAATTTAATTGGGTGACTGCTGGTTTGTGTGTTATATGAAAGGGTAAATAACACTTCCCTATTCACTTTCTCCATACCATTCATGATTTTATAGACCTCTATCATATCCCCCTCCTCAGTCATCTCTTTTCCATCTTTATTCTCTCCTCCTATGGAAACTGTTCCATACCCCTACTAATTTTTGTTGCCCTTCTCAGTACTTTTGCCAATTCTAATATTTTTTTTTAGATGGAGAAGACCAGAATTGCACATAGTATTCAAGATGTGGGCATACCATGGATTTCTATAGTTATTACAATATTTTCTGTCTTAGTATCTATCCCTTTTCTAACGGTTCCTAACATTGTTAGCTTGTTTTGACTGCTGCTGCACACTGACCAGACGTTTTCAGAGAACAATCCCCAACGACTCCAAGGTCTTTTTCTGGAGTGGTAACAGTTAATTTAGACCCCATCCTTTTGTATGTATAGTTGGGATGATGTTTTCCAATGTGAATTACTTTGTGTTTACGAACATTGAATTTCATCTGCCGTTGTGTTGCCAGGTCACCTAATGTTGTGAGATTCTTTTGTAACTCTTCAGAGTCACCTTTGGATTTAACTCTCTTGAGCAGTTTTGTATCATCTGCAAATGTTGCCACCTCGCTGTTCACCCCTTTTCCCCAGAACATTTACAAATACTGTTGAACAGTAGCCATAGTACAGATCCTTAGGGGACCCTATTTACCTCTCCACTGTGAAAACTGTTTATTCCTACCCATTGTTTCCTATCTGTTAACCAGTTACTGATCCATGAAAATCCAAGAACACTATATCCACTGGATCACCCTTGCCACATGCTTGTTGACCCTCTCAAAGAATTCTAATAGATTAATGAGACATGATTTCAATTTATAAAAGCCCTGTTGACTCTTCTAATATATCATATTCATGTCTGTGTCTGATAATTCTGTTCTTTACTATAGTTTCAGCCAATTTGCCTGGTACTGAAGTTAGGCTTACCAGACTGAATTGCCAGGATGACCTCTGGAACCTCAACATTAAAAAATAATAATAAAAAAATCAGCAGTACATTAGCTCTCCACCAGTCATCTGGCACAGAGGCTCATTTAAGTCATATGTTACATACCAGTTAGAGTTCTGCAACTTTATATTTTTGTTTCATTAAAAGCCTTGGGTGAATGGTCCTGGTGACTTATTACTGTTCAATTTATCAATTTCTTCCAAAACCTCCTCTCTTGCCACCTCAGTGTGGGACAGTTGCTCAGATGTCACCTAAAAAGAATGGCTCAGGTGTGGGAATCTCCCTCACATCCTCTGCAGTGAAAATGGATGCAAAAAAATTAATGTAGCTTCTCTGCAATGGCTTGTCTTCCTTGAGTGCTCCTTTAGCACCTTGATCGTCCAGTGGCCCCACTGATTATTTGGTAGGCTTTCTGCTTCTGATGTACTTAAAAATATTTTGCTGTTAGTTCTTGTGTCTTTTGCTAGATGTTCTTCAAATTCTGCTTTGGCCTGCCTAAATTATATTTCTGCAATTGACTTGCAAGAATTGTTTTTTCCCCAGTAGAATTTGGGAAATGAGAATGCATTCTTAGGGCTGGTCCACACTAACCCCCCAGTTCGAACTAAGATACGCAACTTCAGCTACGTGAATAACGTAGCTGAAGTTGCGTAAGTACCTTAGCTCGAACTACAAGGTACTTACCGCGGGTCCACACGCGGCAGGCAGGCTCCCCCGTCAACTCCGCATACTCCTCTCGCGGAGCAGGAGTACCAGTGTCGACGGCGAGCACTTCCGGGATCGATTTATCGCGTCTAGACAAGACGCGATAAATCGATCCCAGAAGATGGATTGCTTACTGCCAAACCCGGAGGCAGGTATAGACGTACCCTTAGTGTCTTGGAAGGAGAGGAGGGAAGAACGGGAGAATGAAGCCTCTTGGAGTGCTTGGTTGTGGCTTAAAGCTAGTAAGTCCCTCAGAGGTGGAACATATAGAGGGTGCAACGCTCGAATTACATGAAAGAGTTGGGTGTGATGTTACACCCCATATTCTTCATAGAAATATGGTTGTGATATGCATATGGCGTAAGTAAGGTATATTTTATGTAAGATGCTCATGTAAGGTATCATTGGAAAGGTTATGATTTACTGAATGCGATTATCCAATTTGTATGCATGTATTATTTCTGTATTTAAAGTTAGGAATATTTATTATGTAACAATTACAAATGTGTGTGTATTTGTGAGACACCCACCAGACAACCATCCATCAGAGCCTTGATAAGCCTTCCTGAGAGGCGTCCTGGGACATATCACCTTATCTGGTAGTGTCACAGCTAAGATCACCTGATACAAAATACCACCTTGGACACTGCTGGTACTTTTCCTCTGTAGGGAGATGGGGATCAAACAAAGGTTTCCTGCCTTAGGTAAATCCTTTTAAGGCTGGGGAAGGGGTTAATCTGGACTCTCCTCCATTGCCTACCCAAGAAGAAGGACTGCTGAAAGAACCAGAAGGGACGAAGGAACTAACCTGAAGGGAAAGTCACGGGTGAGTCCTGAGACTTGGGTCCAGTCTGTAAGAAAAAATAACTGGAACTCTAAGCTACTGAAATGCTGCAACTTACCTAAAATAACATTTAGGGTGAGGAATTGCTTCTTGAAACCAGTCTCTGTAAGATCTTAAGTTTAGTATGCGTGTTTTGTTTTATTTGCTTTATGTTTTCTATCCCTTATAATCACTTAATCTACCTTTTATAGTTAATAAACATGTTTTTGTTTATTATTAAACCCAGTTTGTGCAATCCAGAGCAGGGGAGAAGGGGGGAGAAGCTATGCATCTCTTCACATTGAGGGAGAGGGTGAATTTTTATAAGCTTGCGCTGTGCAGATTTTTCTATACAGCAAAAGACTATTATTTTGGGTTTATTCCCCAAAAGGGGTGTGCATATGAGTGCTGGGTGAATCCTCTCACACAGAGGTGACTTCAGTCTGCGTCTGCAGCTGGGTGTGGCCCTACCTGTGTGTGCGTGTGCTGCAAGAGACCGGAGAGCCTAATTCAGCAAAACATGGAGAGGGAATCCAGGCTGGTGGAACAGGAGGGGCTCAGTGAAACTCCAGTACATCAGGTGGCATCCCAGAAGTGGGGGGTAGAACCTGTCACAGTATGTTCTGGTTACAGCAACCAAATATATCAAACCCAGATCTTCTGCAGATTCTTCAGCTGTAGAATATATCTCATAGGTAGGAGCTCAAGGAAACTGCACTGATGAAGTGGAGGTATTGCCTGTAGTCGATACCAATGGAGTCATCAGCAAGCAGGGTCAGATCCAGAGCCATAGGTGCAAAATCATAATTCTCTCGAGAGCAATGCTGCTGCTTCTCTTCTTCTATTTTCCCCTTAGTAACAGAAAGAGAAACCCTCACAAAATCTGTTTCTAGAGTTGATGGGGAGGAAGCAGCTGGCACCAGGGATGAACTTAGGCCATGTCTACAATACCAATTTTTGTCGAGAAAAGTAACTCTAACCGCCGACCCAACGATCTTCTCAGTTCCTTCTTGCCAGCAACTCCAACATAGGGGCAGGAGAGCAGGTAATGGAATGGATGTGAGCAAAACATCTCGAAGAA